AGAAATATTTAATATGAAAGGAAACTTTACTTATTGATTTATGAACAAAAATTTGTTAGGTTGCTAATATTGAATTAGCATAGAGGAAGGATATAATTATGATTTTATATAATGACAAGTACTCAAGCATTAATTGGATATATAGAACTGATCATTATTAATTTTATTTAACAATATATACATGATACACAAAATATAAAACATATAGAATCTCTCCAAAAACCTCTGTAAATCTGCATAAAAGGATGATTATCTGTAGAAAAGCTACATAAAAGCACAAAAATGAATATAATAGCCACTCTTTTTTATTTTCTGTTTTGATTACATGTTAAAACTCTTTACAGATTTTATAAACTGTAAATTAAAATGATTCACTGACAAATTTATATATTGGAGTTATTTGAGAAACATTGGAAATGCTGTTAGAAAAATGTCTGTTGGCTTAAAATCATTCAAATCTTTAAAATCATAGTATATCCCATATTACAAAAAGACAATGGAAGTAAAGAATTGCTCTTCAGGTACCTAACAATAACGTCTGTTTCAGACCAACTCTGTTGTATTGTCAGAGTCAGGGCTTTTCACTGAGTCCAGATGTTGCACCACAGAGAAGGGAGATGAAGGCCCTTGAAATCGAACTCAGGACACAGCTTTTGATCAAATTATAAATGAGCATCCATCCTGTATGCAGCCTACAGACCTGAGCAGCAGAACTGAAATGCCTCGGTTTGATCTGTCTCAGTGTGTAGTTTTTACGTTGACATAGACAACCATCTATCCAGATAATGCCTTCAGCTATTATTTTGTTCCAAAATGGTGCCTTAAGCCACCTACTTTGAGTTAAAATTCATGTGTTCACACTGATTCAAAAACACAGAAATATAAACACAGAGAGTCACTTAAAAAGCTGGTCTCTGTGATTCTTTTTCTAAAATGGGATGATTAAAAATGAGGTTCAGATGTTCACGTAATGAACAATTTTGTCTTTAAACAAAGGAGGTGGGTTTACGCATTTCGTCCACAAACAAAATAATACTTACATTCATCAAGAATACAGGCCCTAAAATAATTTTTTCTTTCTTGACTATATCACAGGGCATGTTTTATACCAGCAAAAGAGGAAAACATAGAAATAATGAATATCCATGAGCTGGAGGGATAATTGCTTTCTGTACCCTTGAATAAACTTTTACTGCAACCTAAAGGAGTGTTTCTTAATGATGCTTAATGTCTTGAAATGAAGTACTACTATTAATATGCAGACACTGGTTTCTACAATTAGCAGATAAGAGAACAAAGCTCAATTCAAAATAAAATGCTTAAACTCACAACTCTCTTCTTTCAGACTTTAGTTCTTACTGTTTGCAATAGAAAGCAAAAGAAACTCCAAACTACTAGCTCTCTTCAGTGTAAGTACAGGCAGCCCAGGAGGAGCAGAAGAAAAGAAAAACAGCTTTAGATTCAATTCAGCTTTTAGGTAGCTGTGAGGCATTAGACTCATCACTTAACCTCTCTGAGCTTTAGGCAGAGGTAATATTACCTCACAGGTTTGTTTCACAGATACTTAGACATTACATGTGTACAATAGATGATAACAATTATTCTAAAAGGAAGAGCTTAGTTATTGAAGTATTAGATTGGTCCATGAGAAACTGACATTTCTGTAGATATAAATGGCCAGATTTCAGATCCCACTATCAGGTGATCCATTCCTAGGAACCTGGAGAGCACTGTTAAAAAAGGGCCACAGTGTGGATGGTGAGGCTAGATTCCCTGTTGAGTTTGGAGACAGTGGTCATGGATGGAAATTTTTATCAGTGACTAGTTTATAACATGTGCAATAACATATAGAACCACAGAACTTGTATATCTATTCCACTCCCTGGTCCTCCAGACATATTAAGATTTATATCTTGCTGAAGATTAAATTCATTATAAGTGAATGTTTACACTGTGATTACATGTAGTTAATAGTCACAAATACACAAGAAGAATGGCACAAGCACATACTAGTGCACTGGCTTTCTTTTAATGTCCCTACCACAGACAAGTCTGTGTAGGATCTTGATGATCCCTGACTGCTCCTGAAAGTTTGATTACAGTATGTTTTCCATAGTGTTGATTTCCCTCTTGGTCCCCCTGTTTTGTACTTGAGGCAGATGTTTTTGGAAATTTCCACTCAATAGAATGTAGAGAAAAGAGTTAACGTTGCTGCTGACATAGCTGAGAAAGAAGGAGAGGTAATAGGCCACATAGAAGGCCAGTGTGGGCCATTCCATCTGTAAGTTCTCCAGCTGTATCTCATGTTAGGGGGTGGCACTTAGGATAAATACTGCCACCGGCACCAGTATCATACTTGTCAGCCTTGTCACTCTCTGCTTTGAACTACTGGGATTGTAATTGTAAAAGAGACATTTGGATAGGCAGAACATAAACAACCACAGACATTAAAGGACAGCCAACTTATAGAACATTCTGGATGGTTAATAATGGCTTTGCACGAATGGGTGAAACCCATTTTTTATATTCCCACTTCAGAGAATTATGAAAAGATTCTTTTTCATTGTCGTTAAAAACTTCCCAAAGTTCCCAAATCTGCATGATCATTTTTTTTTTTTGCTTAAATTCTTTTATTGGTACATTTTAGGTATACAATATGTTTACATTTATCATTGGGTGCTTACACCTGTACATGACATATATTGGTTCTTATTTTTTCCCCATTCCCTGTGCTCCCTTCCCTATTTACAAAGACTTTGTTTCCATT